TAGGATAGGATAGGATAGGATAGGATAGGATAGGATAGGATGCATTGACGGAGGCCCTTCCGAGGAATGGGCGGAAAGTCATGTGCGGGCGCCACTACCCCGAATGGGAGAGCCTGAGTAGTTAAGGGTTCAGGTTTTAGGGTTTAGGTTTTGTGGCTTTTGTTGGGCGGCAGCGAGGGGCAGCCACAGCACTCAGGGATTTGACGGCGACTTGGGTTCAGAAGCTGAAGCTAATGACGCATGAACTTGAACAGAAGTGTAGCTTCTCTGGATAGTGTTGCCTAGGTCTTACAGAACTTGTAACCAGCCTGCTATGCCCTAAAACCCCAAATCCCCGCAACCTTAAAACCCGAAACCCTATAAAACCCTTAACCTTGAACACTAAACCTGAAGCCGTAGGATCTGAGGGAAGTCCTGCATTGGAATTGGCTTGGCCGTTTGCACCAATGCTTCCGTGATAAAGTCCAATGGGACAGACCCACGAGTGCTCAAAATCCGCTTCAAGGCATTCTGCAAGATGCTCCTTCGTTGTGCGACTCGTCGGCACTACAAAAGGGGCCTAAACAATTACCTGTACTATTTTGGGGTTTCTGGATTATAGATATATTATAAAGGACCCCGAAACTCTATTCTGATTATTAAGGCATCTACATTAGAAGCATGCGTCGCAGTTCCGACAAGGCATTGCAGTAAACCAAACAACTAGGTAACAAACTCAGCTACGACGTATCATCTGCGTGCAGCTTGCATACAAGATGGAGCCTGCGCGAATTTAGCAGACCCTCAGTAACTTAAAAAGATAGTGCGCATTTAGCAGCTGTTGCATTCAGTTTAAAGCCCGTTGGACCAAAACAGAAAGACGAGATTTCATGACCCCATGTAGGCTGGGTTAATAATACTCTAGCGAAGATGAAAATACAATGCCGAAGAAGCAACCAGACGGGGTTCTCCGGGTACTACAGGGGCTGTAGTTTAGCGAGTAAGACAGGGTGCTAGGGTACATAATGCTACAGCTATAAGATGTTATAAGCTAAGGAATACCTAGGAACAGTATTCCTTTGTAGTCAGGCTTCTATTATTGGCCAGCCTTATCTGATAGGAACAGTATGACATTAGGACTCAAACCCTAAACCATACAACCCTAAACCCTAAA